TAGGACTCGCCGGATTCCTGTAACAACATCTTGTGATCCCGGGAAAGGGCAGAATTATCTACACCCAAATAGCCTGGATGTTGAGGTCTCCGCCTGCTCAATGCCATGAGCAGAAGCAGTTCTGTATCTACTGGAGTGCGAGGGAGGGTGTCTTTCCAGGCCACATAGAACGCAGGGCACCATACAGGGAGACAGAGCCACTGCCTGCCCTCTGCAGCTACCCCATCAGTTCTGGAGGGACCTGGCTGCATTTGCTGATTCATTCAACAAATACTTGCAGGAGGCAAATCGGTGCCAGGCACAGGTGATTGGGTTCATTAGCAAACAAATCAGACAACAGCCTATGACCCCACAGAGCTTCCATTCCAACAGGGAGGGGCACAGATGGGAGTTTTGCGCAGAGACGCTTCCTGTGAACCTGGCCCTGGGACACTGGCAATCCCCGGCCCTCTTCTGCACGGGGCTCCTGGGTGATTTCCTGTTTCAGTCCCACAGCCAGGGGAAATTTCTGGTTTTGCTATTCTGAACTCTAACCTGAGAGATGCACACTCTTGACAAGGGATTTTTCTGGTTAAAGGAAAGTCCTGTGTCCCTGTGCACACTTTCATAAGTGTGAAAAAGCCAGTTCAAATGTCACTTCCCGTGAGAAACCCTGTCTGGCCCTCCAACCCTCCTCTGCACTCGTAGCATGAATCATGTTGCCTTGTAGTCACTTGTCTTGCTCAGCTGTGCACCTCCCGCATTCCCTGAAGTCCCCCAGGTGGGGTCTCTGCCCGGTTCAACTTTGGACCTGCCCTAAGGCCACCAATGTCTGACACAGAGAATGTATATAATAAACGTTTGCTGGATTGAATGACAAAACCGAAGGTCCAGGTGGGCCCCCTCCATGCTACCTTCCGCCTGATCTTTAGGCCCCGGCACTACCACACTCTTTCTGATACCCAGGAGGATGGGTCTCTGATCACGTGACTTCAAAGCAGCAATGAGCATAAACAGTATTCTGAGATATTGGCAACAACTAAAGAGTGGAATGAAAGTTTCTGTTGTTTCCGCTGGTTAATACTAAGGGGCTGTCATCCATGTTCAGTTGCAGTTAATGAAAACAGACGTATTTTCTCCCCACTGAAGTTCATGACCCCCCTGAGTTCTATTCATGTACACGCTGCTGTTAAGACCCTCCGGACAAGACCCGTTCATCACCCAAGTGAGCCCGTCATCTTTCAACCACAGGCGGCTCAGGTGTAAGGGTCTGCAGGTTACACCTTAACCTTGGTGTTACCTGAAGCCAGGTGCCCTCAGCTCCTACCCCTCCCCTGCGTGCTGTCCTCTATCTGAGACAGAACAGGGCACTTTCTATTGCTCCCCCAGTGGACCCCTTGCACAAAAGTCTCAGCGAGCAGGGACTTAGCAGCAGACGGCCTACAAGCCTGGGTAGGCTTTCTGCTCTCCCTGGAGGCCCTCCTTGGCTGCCCCAATGCCAGGGCTGGTTTCTTGTCTTTTTCTCCTTTCTCCCAAGCACTGCCTGGTCTCTCTGGCTTCCCCCCTTCCTCTCCCTTCTCCCGTTCCTTTCTCTCCTTTCCATTCCACAGAGAATTCGGCTCTGCCCCAGCCCCTGCCCAATCTTGCTCCTCCAGCTCCTCGGGTTCTTTGCCTCACACAAGAGGCTCCTTGGGTTGGCAGTTTAATCATTTCAAGCTATTTATCCACATACTTCTCCAAACACACCTAAAACTCTCCTCAAGGTTAATTATGACTAATACAATTTTCTCCATTTTATTACAATAGAGTCAGTGGCTCTTTGAATAATCTTGCTGCTTTGGGGCTTTTCTCCACTGATGTGCCATTTGGGGGCACAGGCATGACCCATATCTGACACTATCTCTTCTGTCTCCTCAATCCTTGGCCACCTGTTCATTTGCGGTAGTCTAGAGCAGCCCAGAGATCCCACGGAATCCTTGTCAAGACCTTGGGCTAAACACAAGTACTTTATGACAAGCAGGTTCATCCAACAAATGCAAGAACGAGTTAGCCTTCGGGAATCTATTGATGTAATTCACTGCACTGGGCTGTACGGTTATCTCAATAGACGCCCCCAAAAGCATTTGACAAAGTTGAATATTGTTGATAAAACTCTAAGCCATCCAAGCACAGAAGGCCCCGTTCCTAACTTGGTAAGAGCGTCTACAGAAACTTGCACAAACCAGGATGTACATTAGGGAAAGATCAGAGAGCGGGGGAGCCCCCATCACTGCTTCTTTCCAGCCTGGCCATGTGGGTCCTTGCCAATGCAGTAAAATAAGAAAAAGGGGCATGGGTACTAAAATGAGAAAAAGTACAATTGCCAGCATTGCAGATGATGTGATGTTATACCTAGAAAATCCGAGGCATCAAATGAAAACCTAATGTGAGAGTCTGGTAAGATGGTTAGGTTCAAGATTGACATATAAAAATCAATGGCTTTCACACCCATGAGGAAGGCTATTACGGAACAAAACAATATAAAACAGAAAATAACGAGGGTTAGTGAGGATGCGAAGAAATTGGAACCTTGTGCACTGCTGGTGGGATGTAAAATGGTGCAGCCACTGGGGAAAACACTACGGTGGTTCCTCAGAAAATTACACATAGAATCCCACACGATCCAGCAAGCCCACTTCTGGGTACACATTCAAAAGAATTGAAAGCAGAGATTTAAAGAAATAACGAGGGACCTTCCATTTTTCCACAAACTTTTTGAAGTTCCTTTGTGTTTGTACACCCATGTTCACAGAAGCATTATTCACAACAGCCAAAAGGTGGAGACAACCCAAGTGTCCATCGACAGATGAATGGATACGCAAAGTGTGGTTCATACACACAACAGAATATTACTTGGCCTTAAAAAAAGAGAGAAATCCTATCATATGCCATATAACAGGATGAACCGTGAAGACATTGTGCTGAGTGAAACGGCCAGTCACAAAAGGACAAGTACTATATGATCCACTTCCACGCGGTATCTAGAGTAGCCACATTCATAGAGACAGAAAGACAGAATGCAGGTGACCGGGGGCTGGCAGGGAGGCCGAATGGGGAGTTGGTGTCTAATGGCTATAGAGTTTCTGTTTGGGGAGATGAAAAGTTCTGCAGATGGAGAGTCGTGACGGTTACACAACAATGTGAATGTACTTAATACCATTTAATCATTTAAAAGTGATTTTTAAATAGTTAAAGTGGTAAATTTTGTGTTGTGTGTATTTTACCACAATCAAAAAAAAAATCAGTGATCTTCTTTGTCACTAACTATAACCAGTTAGACAATGTAAGGGGTCAGGAAGCTACTTACAAGAGCAACAAAATCCATACTGTATCCAAGAATGGAACCACTGACTTCAGAGTCATAGTGACTAAAACAGGCACAGGAACAGGCGATGAACAAAGCTGAACCAGAGTCCAGAATTCCCAGCCATTCCACTTCTAAGAGTCTACCCTATTTAAAAAAAAAAAAAGTGGACATGTGCAAAGATATAAGTACAGGGAGCTCACAGGAATAGCATTTGGAAGAGCAAAAAACATTGAGACCAAAGCATCTTTTCATCAACGGGGGAACAGTTAAATGAATAACGCTACATCCCATTTTCCAGCTGTTTTAGACAGGAAGCACAGCTGTGAGCTCTGACGAAGAATGACCCTGGTGATATATTGAAAAGCAAGTTCTAACATAATTCCTCAAGCCCAATCTCAGTTGTCTATACACAAAACAAAAACTACATATTGGTATGTTTAGGTATAGAGATAAATGCATAGAAAAATACCTAGACTGATACACAACCATTATTTTGATTAGTCTTGAGGGACATTTTCTTTATAAGTTTTCTACGAGAATATATTCATGTAGTTCTTGTCAATTATTTTCTTTTTAAATAAAATGGAAAGAACCAGGCTTCTTAGTGCTGTGACAAGCTGGCCTTGTCTATGTCTCCACCAGGGGAGATGTGGGTGGTGGCTCAGGGTTTGGATGGGGCAGCACCATGGTGTTTGCTCCAGCCCTTCTCCATGGGCTCAGCATTAGGGTGGGGGGCATGACGGACAATAGCTACAGCCTCCCGGGTGGCCTTCCAGAAAGAGGGACCGCTGGGGGAGGGCCAGAGATTTCACTCCCTGGAAAGAAGGGCATGGATGCTTCCTCTTGGTACAGTTCAGTACTTTGGGTGCCTAATAACCATTTAGTGCAGCTGTCCTTGACTTTGACCTTGGCTGCACACTGGAATCACCTGGGAGGATTAAAAACTACTAATGGTTAATCTGTACATGGACATTTTATTTATTTGCTCCAGGGGTGGTCCTGGCACTGGAATTATTAAAAGTTCCCTGGGCAATTCTGGTGCACAGCCCTAAGGACGTCTCTAGGAATTCAGGCTCCTTCATATTCCATGCACCTCCAAGGTGCTCTACTCCCAACTTATGCAACTGATATTTGAAACCAAACAGGAGAATTTTTTTTTCAGTTGACCTAACTGGTTCCTGTGATCCCACTGAGCTCTTTGAACTTCTGCCATCCAGTGTGTTAGGGTGAGGAGAGTACGCTTCCGTATGCACGTCTTTCTGACGGAGGTCCCCATCTGCCCCACCTGCAATGAAGACATCTTGGTCTCCCAGACAGAGGACTCACCCAGGTCAACCTCCCTTTTCGTGGGGTCCTTGAAGGAAGAAATAGTTTCTACATGACTAAAGATATCTTCCCCTTCTATTGACAAAAATCCAAGGCCTGGGAATACTATTCAGCAATAAAAAGAAACAAACTGCTGATATGTGCACACAACACGAACCTCACAAATGCCATGCTCAGTGAAAAAAGCCAGACACCGGACTACACACTGTAGGATTCCGTTCACAAGAAACGTCCAGAAAAGGCAAATCTATACAGAGAGGAAGCAGACCAGAGGTTGGTTGGGGCTGGGATGGAGTAGGCACTGACTGCAAACGGACACAAAGGATTTTATTTTTTATTGTAACATAGTTGATTGCAAGGGATCTTTTGGGGGGCATTGGAAATGTTCTAGAACTGGACTGAAGTGATGGCTGCACAACTGTGAATTTAGTAAAGATCATTGAATCACTCTAGAACAGGGTAACTTACACCTCCATAAAGCGCACCAGGGAGACTAGAATTGGGTCCTCTTAACGGGATGTTCTTGGAGACAGGGAGACAAGCGGGACTGAACACTGCTTGGGTGACGGGTTACGGGTGATGGTCTCAAACAGCTCAGCTTTGGCTCCGGAACTGCACATCCCACTCAGCAAAACCAAAGCCCCGAGCTGACGCTTGGCCTGGGTCTCCCTCTGCACCCCACACCTTGGCAGAGGCGCCTGCTCACCTCCCGGGGGGTCTTCGCACCGCACCGCATGGTCCCCAAGGCCAAGCAGTTTTCGGAAGGCCTCTCCCTGGCGCGGGGTGAGAGGGTGAGAGCGTCCCTGCGAAACCTGGGAAGCTGGGGTCCACCTGGCATCAACTACTCAATTGTTCAGAACAGGAGAAAGGCTGTAAAACCAGCTTTCATGGAGCAACCAGAAGGGAGAGCGCTGCCCAGTGCCCGCCCATAGCTGGCTCCCCCCACCCTCTCTCCCGCCCTTGCGTCCTCTCCTTTCTGTCCTGCATCCTCCCACCCCCACCCCTCCGCACCCTCCG